TCCAAGCAGGGCCCTGCAGGTCTCTCTCCTCTCCCCGATCCTGACCAGGCAGCTCTGTGATTAAGGAGATCCTGTGGGATGAGAGCAGGAGAAGCATGTAACTCCCGGCCCATTCACTTTGCATGCTCCGGGCCAGGCCTTGGCATGGAGCTGGGGATCTGTATCCCTGGGGTGGAGTGGGGAAGGGGAATTAGCCCAGCATTTGGGCATGTCCCAGGCATGGTGCACCCTCTGCTCAGGTCTGAGATGCCCGGTCTGGGTGTGAAGGCAGTGCTGTTGCTGCCCACTACACGCCTGCCCCCTGGCACCCTTCACTGCAGGGACTACTGATGCCATCACACTAGCGCAGTCTGGGAACCTGGCTGTGGACCGCCTGCTGTCTCCTCTGCTGCCAAGCCCAGGTGCAGCCAGCTCCTAGGACAGGGCTGCAGAGCTGTGGGGATGCAGCTTGCTGTGTAGGCAGTGAAACTGGCAGCCGGGGGGGTGGGACTGAGGGATGCGATTAGCCCAGACACTGGGTCCCACTCCCAGGGCCCCTCACCTGTCCCCTCCCAGGACTCAGGTGCTTTGAGGGCTGACACAACATGTTCCATCTCGCAGGGATAAAGATCCCCGAGAGCTGCGTCCATAGAGTGCGGGAGGAGCTGAAGCAGATGGACGAGAATGTAAAGCAGAAGCATAACCACCAGGCCCTTCTGGCCCAGGACCGGAGCCTGCCGTACTCCATGCCACAGCATGTTCTGCAGCAGCCCCATGACCTCTGCCAGCCTGTGGTCAGGCTCCCCCTGCCCAGACACTCCCTGCACCAGGACGAGATCCTGGACTTGACCTACAGCCCTCCCAGCGACAGCCTCTCCAACCTGGCCTTGAAGCCTGACCCCCTGGGCGCTCTACACTTCCCACCGGAGCCTGTTCTCCAGCCACACCAGCAGCACAGGATGCCCTTGCATTTCAGCCTCCCTCCGGTCTTCGAGAGCCCGGCCCCAGCTCTGGCGGGGAACATGCCTCTCAACCCGTCCCCGCACGACCACGTGCCTCTCCCCCATCCCGACCACCTGCAGACGCTGCCGCAGCAGGAGCTGCCGCCGGAAGACTTAGCCCAGCAGGAGAACATCAATTTCAAGGAGGTGCTGGAAGACATGCTGAGGACGCTGTACGTGGCCCCTCAGGACAGCGCGCTCTCCCAGGAGCGCCAGAGCGTCATCCAGTTCACCAGGCCCTTTGAACACTTCTGAGGGGCCAGCTGTGGGGCTCAGCCACAGGCGCCGTGCCCCTCCCTAGCCTCTCACCTGCCTGCCTTTGGCAGGAGCGCTGGCGCGGAGGGAGGCCTGGCTCTGTATTGCTTTGCAATGACCCGCGTGTCTCAGTTCGGGGGCAGGGGGATCGCGTATTCCTTACAGCAAAGTTTATTTATATATAATATACAGCCACACATGTATAGAGTTGTACATATCGTGTGTATAAAGGGGGGGTGGGGGTGGCAAAGTGCTTTTATCACAGAGCTCAGCTGATCGGGACCCATGTCCTCTGCTGCGGGGTGGACCTGCTCAAACAACCGCACCCAGGTAGGACAGAGAGGAGAGCCGTTGACGGCCCCAGCCCCTCCCCACACCCATCTCCACACCGACTACAGAGTTGAAAGGCCGGGATTCACCCCCCTCTCCCCGGGGCGTGTGCAGTGTCGGCAGACGGAAACGTTCTGACCCCCAAAGCGATCCTGTTACCAGAGTGTCCGTGATGGCGAAAGCCGTGGTTCCCAGCCGTTGTGGGCAGCTTGGCTGGGTCAGCCGGAGCCAGGCTCACACTTGGGCTCTTCCATCCCAGCCCTGGAGCTTGGTGCCACTCGAAACACCAGAGTCTTGAGGGAATGGGGGGCAGGCACTTGGGCCTAATACAGGGGCGGGGACTGCGGGGGAAGTGACAGAGGTCCCAGTGCAGGCTGGGAACCACTGAGCTAAAGCATCCATCTGTGTAGGATTGGGTGGGGCCAGCTGGAGAGACATTCAACTGACTACAGGTCATGTGCTCGCTCTCTGCTCTCCAGTTAGTCCATGCCACTCCTTTCTCTTGGGAGGGGAAACTGACATGCTTTGGGCTGCCCTGACTTCCCCAATGGGATGGGGAACAACTCTTCTGCACTAATATGCCCACTTTATCAGTATTCAGCAATGAACTCCTTAG